TAAATATTTATTTAAAAATAAACCTAAATATACATGCATAGAATACATTTAAATATATTACTTATATAAATATTTATAATATATATATATATATATATATACATACACATACATAGACATAATTATTATTAACACCGTTTATAAAATATATTGATGATGAGACTGTGAAGGGAAATTGTGAGTTAAACTTAACGTTCTTAGCTTTCTAGGAGAAGTTCATGAACTTTCTTCTTAAAACTGCACCTAGTAGGTGACCTTCTAACGGAGTCAGGGAGGCTGTTCCAGAGTCGTGAAGATTGGAGGGCAAAGGAATCAGACATATAGCCAGAGTGAAAGAGAGGAAGAGATAGTGCAAGAGTATCAGTAGAACGAAGTTGAAGTTTATGTGAGTCACAAAGATATTGAAATTTGGATCGTAAGTATTCTGGAGAGTGAGGGTTGAACAGGATAGAATATAGAGTACACAGCATTCTCTGCTGCCTTCTTTGACGTATAGGAAGCCATCTAAGTTGAGATCTGAACGCCGATACGTGGTCAAATTTACGCAGGCAGAAGATGAAACGAATGGCATTGTTGATGAGACGATCCAATTTGTTCAGAAGATCAGCATTCAGATCGGGATAGCAGACATCAGCATAATCAATGAGCGGGAATATGAGAGATGTTACAAGCAAAATTTTTGTGTTAATGGGGAGAAAATTCCTAAATCTGTTTAAAACACGAAGTGAGTAAATTACTTTGCGACTTACTTCGGCAATTTGTGTGTTCCAGCTAAGAGAAGAATCGATGTAAATGCCAAGATTTTTGACACTTGTGCTAAACGGAACAATCGTGCCCTCATACACGACAGGCTGGTGAGACCCATAATCAATTTTGGCAATTTGTTTAGAGCCACCTACGATAATGGCCTGACATTTTGATGGATTTACCTTAATTCCAAAATCGGCGGACCAAGTACTGATACGTTGCAGGTTATGGTTTAACGTTTCGATGGCCATATCAACATCCTCAGCCGACGTCTGAGTATAGATTTGTAGGTCATCAGCATAGAAATGGTAAAAGCAGCCAAGCGAGAAGGAAAGGAGGTTAATAAAAACAGAAAAAAGTAAAGGAGAAATTATCCCACCCTGGGGTACACCAGCAATTAAATCGTTCCAATTAGAAAGATTTTGCTCAATGCGAACCGCTTGTTGACGGCCACGAAGGTAAGAGGAGAACCAATCCAGTGACTTTGATGAGAAGTTAAGGGATTTAAGGATGGCGAGGAGAATATCGTGGTCAACCATGTTAAAAGCGTTGGAAAAGTCTATGAGTACTATGACTGTAACCAACTGTTTCTCCATGCCCATCCTGACATCTTCAGTAACTTTCAGCAGAGCCGTAGTAGTGCTGTGTCCAGGACGAAACCCAGACTGAAACGAAGTAAGAAGATTATTGGAAAATACGAAAGAGGATACTTGGTGATGAGCAACGGCTTCAAGAACTTTAGAAAGAAAGGGAAGGATGGAAATAGGCCTGTAGTTACTAAGTAGCTGAGGAGACGAGACTTTCGGCAGAGGAAGAACGAAAGCTTTACGCCAAGCTAGAGGAAAATCACCGTTGAGAAAGGAGTAGTTAATAATGTGTACAATAGCTGGCAGTATATAATCTAGAATGTTGACTATCATTTCTCTGCTGACGTCATCCCATCCAACTGCTTTAGATTTGATAGACAGAATAATTTTGCGAATATCATCAATTGTCACTGGAGAAAAAGTAAAGGAATCAGAAAGAGATTGAGCTCTGGTAGTAATAGTCTTGATAGCTTTATTCTTAATATGTGGGTCGAGAGAATTGGTTGTGGAAAAGTGATTATTGAAATCGTTAAGAGAGAAAGGATAGGAGTCAGGTTGCACAGAACAATTGCCCAAACCTAAAGAACGGAGAAACTTCCATACATTCGCCGAAGATGAGTTGCAGATATTTTCATGAAAATATTCTCGCTTTGCTACCCTCACCATTCTGTTGCACCTATTACGAGCTGTCTTATATAAGGACCAGTTTTCCTCCGACCTGTCACGCTTGAAAGCACGGAATGCTCGATCTCGTCGCGTCATGGCTATACGGACACCTCGACTAATCCAAGGAGCGGGAGGTCGCTTAACTCTAACAGGCTTTAGCGGAGCATGGGCATCGTAAAGTTTGAGAACACATTGGTTAAAGTTTGAAACTTTCTCATCAATTGACGAAGCACCATACATCGCTGAGAAATCGAGCTTAGAAGCATCCCCCCTTAGTCTATCAAGGTCCAGTCGAGCAAAGTTCCGCATCCACACAACAGAAGGTTTAGTTTTTGGTGGTTTTAATCTATACTGCAAAAAGATTAGATCGTGTTTTGAAAAACCAGGGGCAGTAAGCTGACCGTGATTAATAACGAAATTAGGGGAAGTTAAAATTAAGTCAAGCCATGTGTCATGAGAAGTGGTATGATGTGTTGGCCTAGAAGGCAGAATGGAGAGATTAACGGACTTGACAATATCAAGAAGTTTAAGAGAGCGAGATGAGCTATACATTAGATCAGTGTTGAAGTCACCCATAATTATGTGATGTCCGTATTCCGAGCAGAGTGGTTCAAGAACAGATTCAAGCTGAGAGAAATAATCAACACCGGGGGGAGAATAGACGACGCCTAGAACAACTTTCACTCCCTTGATAGAAACTTCTAGGAAGATGTATTCAGCAGAACTGGAGTAAAGAGAGGGAGATGAATTAAGAATTTTATATGGAATGCCATGACGTAAGTATATGGCAACACCACCACCGCCTTTGCCAGTACGATCATTGCGGATTAGAGTGTGCCCAGGAAGTGAGAAAGAAGAAGAGGAAAGACAGGGTTTTAACCAGGTTTCTGAGATAAAAATGGCGTGAGTGGTGGCAGAAGAAAAGGTTTCAATGAAATCTGAAAAATGAGAAGGTATGCTTTGCGCATTTATATGACACACGTTAAAAGAGTGAGGTAGATTTTGGAAAGAGTTGTGTAATAATGAACCCAGTGTTTCCGGTTCCGAAAAAGAAGTAGAAGAAGTAAAGCTAAGGTCACGAGCGGAATGAAAAGAATCATCATCATCAGACATTAAAATAAATAAATATAGCAAATAAATAAATATATAACGAACTAAAAACACAATACAAGTAAAAACAAATCAATTAATTACACAAAATAATACTATGACTGTCCTGCCGGTTGCTTGACATTTACAAAACATAAAAATTGATATAATGACAACAGGCTGACGTTCAGAGCCCACGGTCCAGGTCCAATAAATGCAAAATTAAAACGTCAGGGTATGAAGTTGCACCCAGATCGCAGGCACCGAACGCAGCCCGAGCGGGCAAAATACCAATATGCCAGGGCGATAAAAAAAAAAGTTTCTAATCATTGTTCAGATTCACAGTGACGTCATGGCTCTTTGCCTTTCTCAAGATGGGAAAAAAGTTTAAAAACAAAAAAAAATTGACAGTGACGTTTTCATTACTAAAGTATTTTAAATATAAACAAAGTGAATTGAAGGTACAATAAAAAATAATAACTATTTAGACACCCAATGTTAATACCTGAAATAACAAACAAACATTTAACAAAAACTATGTTAAATAAAACTAAAAAAAAATCCATATTAGAGAACTAATGGTGCAAAATAGGACAATGGAAAAACGAACTACTTTACTTTCTCGCCCTGGCTGCCCGCTTGGGCTTAGAACGAGACTCTGGGGAGAGCATTGGTGTTGGTGACCTAACTTCAGTTGTTGACTGCTGCGACTGCGAAGCACTTTCCGGCTGCGGCTGCTGCTGCGGCGGGGAGTAGTCCTCTGTCGCTGATATAGACGACAGATCGCCTTCAGTGTGTAGTCGCTGTTTCGTTCCGTCATTCAGCTTGACAAAAATGTTCCCCTCGATTGACCAGCACCTCTTGATCCCAAAACGTTTGCGAGCACGAATGAAAAGTGCTTGACGTTGACGTGTTAGGAACTCGGATAATGTATGCGGAGTACCCTTGAGTGCTGTCTTCTTACTCCAAACAGTAGATTTGATGGAAATATCCGTGAAACGCAGTAGCACAGGGCGACATTTCCCCTCTACTGATGCACCACCGAGACGATGACAAACACGTAATTTATCTGAGGTCAGATCCAAGCCCATCTTGCTGTTCAGAAGACATATAATGAATTTGGAAACATCTTCAATATTCTCCGGTATGCCGCCAACGAGGAGATACTTCCGGCGATGCCTCATTTCTATGTCATCGACAGATTTGAGAAGCTGTGATATCTGGTCTCGCAGTAAAGTCAACACAGACCATACCTCAGACTTGAAGTCATGGAACTCCTGTCTTAGTTGTGTAAGAGAACCATCATCCTTGGGCTGTGAAGAAGAATTCCATTTACTCTCCAGCTCGTTCATCCTTAGTAAAAGTTTTGTTTCCAAAGCTTGCTGAGTCTCAAGAACTTTTGCAATATTGGCCATTGTTCAGTGAAAATTATGAGTTTCTATAGTGTTAGTGAAACCGGTCAGGACAGTTGGGTAAAACACTAAAAATTGCACATACACTGAGGATAATAGTACACAATGTAAATAGTGCTAGATACTTTAAGAATTTACTGTAAAGGATCCTTTAAAATAACTGTAAGTATTTTTAAATAAATTTTATATTGGAACAGTGTCTTAAGTGTTTTCACTCCTACCGCCGAAAAAATACTACTATATACTAAACGCTAAGTTCACAACTATTGTTTTTTCAAGTTTGTACACCCGCGAATCCTTTAAAAGCATTGTTATTAAAATTCGTTATTTTACTTCGTTTCGTGATAATATTTGAGAGTAATAAAATATTACATTAAAGCTATTTTAGTGTTTAATGATTACATTGTAATATTTAAGACATAATCATATTAAATTATCACATTAAAAAAACTACATAAGGCAAGATCACTTTTTACTTTCAAAAAATAAAGCCATTATTCTAGAGTTCATCAGGAATCAAGCTGCCTGGTTTCTTCTCACAGATGAAAGGTATAGGAACGCTGTCACACCACAGGTCATCCAGGAGACCTGTGCGGAACACCCCTCCGCAGAACGAACCATTGTCGGGGCCCTTGTTGTTGTCTGGCTGGCCACTTGCGAACGTCGAATAACCAGCTTTTTTAAGAGATTCACCTGTAAATAAAAATCTTTGTCATAATAGGAGATAACATTTTAAGCTAGCGGGTATCTGTCAAGTGCTTTTATGAAAAAAAAATAAAAAATCAAAAAACCCGACTGCTTCATTATACTTCAAATAAAAACTGAAAAGGAAAAAACAAGTCCAGTAGTCTATAATTCTGTTAATAAGGAACAAAGCTTCTTTAACTGTCGGGACCCATTGTTGAAAAATATTATGTGTTCTTGAATATCTAATGGGTCCCTACTGTGATTCTAAATAAGTAAACACGCCCGATCACATCAGCAGTCGAATATATCTTATGCATATAACCATCCTGGTGGTCTAAAACCGTATTTCAAATAAGACTGGTTAAGGGAACAAAGTTTGAAAGTCTATACGGTGCTACAACTTTTGTGTTTTATTTATAAAGCATAACTATATCTTTCGCATGCTTATATTTCAGTGAAAAAGATATCATAAAATGTAAGTATTAGTTCCTAACTTCGGCAACTACTAAGACAGAATTCATTTCAAATGAGACTCCAAAGCATGCGCTATTGTTATTTTATGTCTCGATAGTCAATTGAAATTTTCAAGTATATTTACTTGAAAATTTACTATACTTCTTGAGACAAAAAAGACTATACTTTAAAAAAAAACACCCTTCGTCCAACTTACCGTGAACAGTGTACCAGTTGCCGTGTTCTCCCCAACTGTAAAACCCTATAGAGGCGACATCTTTGAAAGCAGACGCAATTTTTTCGCTAGGGTGCTTGGCGAAGACATCCTTGATGACCTGCATCTCGGTATCGCCGTTGATGATGGCTAGGTGCCCTCCCTCTGCCATACAAGTCATATAAGCACGTCTCCAGGTACGTCCAGTTGTATGGAACTTGTAGCAGCTTCCGGTACGAGCGTCCAGGACATACTCTAAAACAAAATTGATGTTTGAAAAGTAAAATCTGGTAATTTACTGGGTTATATGGTGAGTTATTTCTTCATCTCCCCATTCAATCCGGAAGGCCTATGCGCATACAAAACGGACATTTATAATTTGATGATAATAATGTTGAGATTAATATTAATATTAATAAAGAAATAAACATAGAGCAGCTTCTGTGAATTCTGAAATGGTGAACTGACGGCAAGACTAACTTATACTATACCTCGTAAATATTGTAGGCGATGAGCTGGTCATATTGCGCTGTTGTTATTAGTCAATATTTTAGATCTCAATAAAGACAGAAAGGTATCTTATTAGTGTAGATTCGATATAAGTGAATTTCATGTAGTTGTACTTTAAGTTATGTATGTTTTTTGTTTAATTTCATCGTATATTTGATTCTCTTTAGAGACGAAACTAAATAGTAATCAATGAACGCGGATGCTAGATCCGTGGCCATAGAGAGTTAAGACGACTATTGCTTGGGACTTTTGACTCATGCGTAGCTTTGAATGTTCATTAACCACAACCATATTCACAGTATTTTTTCCATTGTCTGCGCATTTAGCGATGTCATTGAGATGCAGTTTAACTATACAAACCTTTATCGACGGTTCCACATGATGTTAGAACTGGGTTATCAGTCTTCTTCTTATAGCAAATGTAGGGATAGGTGTCGTTGCAGCGAACATCAGCCAGTGTCCCGTTCTGCAGCATGATGGTGCAATCCTCATTGTTCTTATAGTTGTCTGGTTCGTCAGGAGCCCATGTGACTGGTAGCTTGTAGAGAGGAACGCCTGAGACATTTATGCAAATATTAAAAAAGGAAATGTTTATACTATAGGTTACCGGAAAGAGGAAAAGTAGACATGATGATTTCTTTCCAAAATTTAATGTAAGAGAAACAATAAATGGAGCAGGAAGAGGTAAGTTCCAACAAATAAAAGATCAACGTCAGGTCTATGATGAAAGGACAATGTTAAAATTGGCCTAAGAACCAACACCAATTTGGCATTTATGATAATTCTTAGTATATTTTTTGCGATAATTATCAGTATTTAGATTATGACGGACACTTCCAATTAAGTAAGCTAAATTAAAAAGTTAATAAATAATCTGAGACACTAAATATGTGTATAATCTATGACAGCGCTGCAAACAAAACACTTTCTTCCTAATGCCGGCACTTCACTTGGCTAGTCGTATTTGCTATTTAAAAACATGACATTAGTCTGTCTGTCCTTTTCATTCCTTATTAAGCATGACAAGGACAAACTGTTGTCAAGTGAAGGGCCGGCATAAACTCGATACTCTGTGGTTGTGGTCCAGGCAGTTTGCATTCGTAGTAATCTGTGGCATTCGTGCATTTTCGTCAAAGAGTACTTTTTATATACGGAAAATTCTCGTTTCGGATTACCTGTTGTGTGTGTTTATTTGCAATTGTTTTTCCTTTAGTTTAACTTTTACTATTTCGGCTATCTAATATGCCATCGATGTTACCAAAAAGCAGAGACCTTATTACCAAGTGCTAGTGAACCTGTGCCACAACATCCTGAGAGGATCATACTGTCAAATTATTCAAGAGCACCTGATATACATTCACGCTGCATATTTACACAATATACATGTGTTAAACAAATAAATACAATATGATACAATTATGTGAAAAATAGCCAATAAATAATAAGAAGCAAAACTAGTTTTTATTTTATTCATGATTCTTGCCTAACCAAGTTTTTCCTAATAGTTATTCTTTAAAATCGCACCGAATAAAATGAATTAGTTGTAATATTAATTCACTTCAAACTGAGTTCATACTAAGTTCGTAGGTTGACCTATGTTTCATTGAATATCAAACATAACCTCAAAAAAAATTTAGTTTTCCTAATAATTTAAGTTCTCAGAAGTGTCCGTCAATAATCTTTGTTTTTACAGTCATTTACTTGCGATTTCGAACCTAGAAAATAATATTTCATGGTTGTTGGTTCTTAGGCTAACTATGTATGGACGCAGAACAATGTCCTTTGTAGTTTAAAGTACTTACTGGTAGTCAAATAAGTTTACATAGCCTGTCTGGCCTGGACAGTTGACGACTTGGACTTCAATTCCTACCAATTCGATATTTTCAAAACAAATTCACTTAAAATTAGAGAGCAATTAATCATAAGTCCAAATATTAACCAACATTATTATACCTAAATGAAAACAGGTTAGCTTTTCGTGTTAACTAACCATTAATATGATTGTCATTGACGAGCGTTGGTAACTACTAGTTCCTTATTGTATTGGTAATCACGTTCTTGAAAATAAAGTTATATAATGAACTAAGTCGTTTTACATACCTTCGACGGTTGCGAAATCTCCTCTAGAAAAGACCGCGTGCACTCCAGTGAAGATGCCGCAAGAGTCGGTGTGAGTTTTGGCAAATTTCATCATGGCTTGCTGTAGGTCTACAGTCAATGGAGACGCTACATTTGACCCTGAGAAAGATACACATGGTTATTTTATTAATGTTAGCTTAGAAAATATTTCTATCCAGTTTGCAATCCAAATCTGCAGGGTTGAAATGGCAACGTACAGTTTAACGGAATATATATATTTTTTTTGAAGAAAGCGGTTAACGTACGTTGTACAGGTGCTACACCTTACTGGTGGTTAGTGTAGAAGTATTTGATTGTAGAATAGGTAAATGGTTAATAAATGTTCCATTAGACCGAAAAAAATGTATTGTATTTTTTGAGACCTAGAAAGCTACAAATCTTTAATTTTAAAATAGACTTTTCATGGACATACAAAAACGCTGTCGGCCATTTTAGTCTATAGATTATTTATCTATGCTATGACGTCGACGGTAGTAAACAAAAACTCGTAAGCACGTAGAAAATAACCTATCTGAGTTTATAATAAAAAAAAAGAACATGATTTCTAATAGATACCACGAAAAATATAGTAATTACCATTGTTGTATTGTACGAGAAATAAAAACACATCCTTGAAGACTCCAGGAAAGTTGTGGAGTGCCGAAAGAAATTAACCTACGCAATACCTGGTTAGAACTTGCTAAAAGTGATCCTGCAACTTTTTCGAATCATAGTGAAATTTATTTTTGCGACGATCACTTTGATGTAAGTACTCATTGAATAATATTATAAGTCTCTTCATTTATTATCAGTTTTAATAATGCAAGTTTTAAAGTTATGTATGAATGACATTTAGTTGTTTACTAAAAGAGACGTCACAATCATGGCGGATGTGGCGAACAGCGTTTTTAGTATTTAAAAAGTATAGACTGAAAATTATTTTTATAAATTAAATTTCTACAGCAATCTTCTGCTTTTATGAAGTGAAATCGATATATTTAGGTTCCTTAGACCAAATACTTTAAGAAATAAACATTTATTTAATACAATTCGACATGAGTCAACTAGCCTATTCTACACGTGTTGCGGTTTTTACCTTCAGCGTTACACCTCAGGAATGCATCAGTGAAGGTGGCTGGTACTCGGTGGAATTTCAGCCAGCCGCCCGCTTCGCGGCTGTACTCATAGTCGGAGCGGTACTGGCTGCTCTCTGTTGGGAAAACGTGGAGATACAAAATTAAACTGAAAAAAAATATCGTTCTGTTGTAGTAACAGTTAAAATCAACGATAACAAACTATTTTGTCCTCTACAGACCAATACGACCCTTTTAAATTTATTTTGACAGAGAGTTGTTGGCGGGATTTTATCGAGTGCGGTTGGCGTCTTATTTTAATTATTCTAAAATTCGTTGAAAGTGAACATTGTGAAAATTGGTGTGATTTTGTGTTACAATCGCCTGCACAACTGAAGAAAAAGTGGAATCTTTAAAATATGCGATATTCCGGTAAGGTGGACGTGAGAACTTTATTGTAGTGTTGACTACCTCAAAGAAGCTTGTCGAGGAAGCCAACTGTATACATTTCGTGACAAACACTCCAAGAAAAATTAGAATGCGTTACACCGATATTTTAATTTAAAATATATATATAAAATAAAATTTATGTATAGGTATATTAACTAAAGACTAGGCTGTATGGGCATTTTTTCCTTTACTTTCCGTAAAAAGGGAGAATCTTAAAAAAATATTTTAATACGACTCTTAACGACAATTTTCACAAGCCGTGCAAAGCCATTTAGAAAAAAAAACAATTTGCACTTTAAAGCATAAATTTTTACAAACGGTACCCCTAGCGCGAACTTTGAAAAAATAAGATGAACATTACTTGTCCAGATGGCTGCTCCGATTGAGCGGAAAACCACTTTTCTGGCTATCTTTGCAACCGTAGTGCACTCGCTAAGTGCGAGTATATCAGGTACCGTATAATATTTTTTATTCTCATGAATATCTAAGTTCATTCGCTTGTTGCGACGTCCAAACTAGTTTCAAACGGGTAATAACCGTTCGGTGCGTCATCGTTGTTCGCCCGTTTGGTCTTGGATTTAACAAAAAGACATAACGCGAAAAGACAGCCATCAGAGGTGTTGTTCACTAAGTTAAAAAAATCACAGGAACAGTAGAAAATTTACTAGCCCTTAGGTACAGCTTACAAGAGCATCAGAAGAATCGAAAGTTCTTTAATAAACAAACCACAATAAACTTACCTATACACGCCACACACAATGTAACCGACACAAGGAAAACACTGGCGAATGACATTTTATCACTATTTTGAAAACATTAATACACTTAAATTTTATCTAATTAATAAGGGTTTTATCTGTTTTTTCTCTCTTCTGCGTTTATTTGGCCCCAATGAAATTACTTAAGTTATATAATAGCAATTACAATTCAAGATTTGTTCAACGACTCGAGACTCATAAGAGGACTGGTTTCAATGGCAGCATGATATTGACTGTAAGTACTTGTACGGATCGTGCAGTATTTATATAAACATTACTATCGCATACAGAATGGGTTTTTGAGAAAACCTTTAATGTGGTTTCGCGTGTTTGTATTCTGCTCGTTTCTGCGTTAGATTTGACTCCCATATCTATATATATAAACTTAAAGGTCTGACTGACTGACTGACATAGTGATCTATCAACGCACAGCCCAAACCACTGGACGGATCGTTCTGAAATTTGGCATGCAGGTAGATGTTATGACGTAGGCATCCGCTAAGAAAGGATTTTGTTCAATTCTACCCCCAAGGGGATAAAATAGGGAATGAAAGTTTGTATGAAACTTTGTCATTTTTAAACCGATCGGGCTGAGATTTTGCATGCAGGTATAAGAAGAATCATAGATGAATGTCATTGTGTATAATACAAGCCTGAGAACAAAAACTGTAGTCTACACTTCAGCTCTATACCGAAGCGAAGTGAGGGCGGGCCGCTGGTATTAAATATACAGTAAAGTTAAGCATAATAAAATTGGTAATAAATACAATTCATTCAACACTCGCCACGCTCGCCAACAGTAGGGACTAGTTTAGAACTGAACTGAACATGCCCATCGCCAAGGTGGCTTACTGACGTCATTTGGCAACAGAAAAAACAAGACTTACCCTTTAGGTTTTTTTTTCACTACTCAACCTACAGATCGACTGTACTTCTATTGGAATTGGGATTTCCCTATTGGTATACCAACGTTTTTTATAATGTCAAGAAATCGCAAGAGTTTCTGTTACATTCATGATTTTAAAAGTGATTTCGAAATTCAAACAAAATGTTATCTATAAAATTATTTGTTGCTTTGAAAATAATCAAATTTCAAATATCTTTGATCCATATTATCACAGTTTCCTAGTTATTAGAAGGTCCTACGTGCAAATCAGTCTTTACAAAGGAAAACTTGTCTGTATTGACACTTTTAATTTAAATCTTTGCTTTTAAGTGAATTATCGGGCAAGTGGGTCAGGAATCAGTTGGTTCGATCGTAAATGGTAGCAATCCCGTAATGACATAAATTACTACAGCGAATTCTCCTCTAGAATTCTAACGCTTGTCTGGGAAATCAGAAACTCCACCTGCACCTCCCAGAAGAATTCTAGAGGTCCATAGATGGGGTCAGACATTCTTTTTTTTTATAAATATGTCCGATAAATGACTTTACCCCACCTGATGTTAAGTGACGGTGAAGTCCAGACGCGAAGATAGCTGATACAGCAGTTCTACCTGCCACACCAGTCACTTAGCCGGCCTGCATGTTGCTTCTTCACGCCTCTTTAAAAGGATCTCAGGTTGTGTTCCGTAGCGTAACAGATTTTTTAATAAAGCAACACATATTGGAAGATTGTATTTTTTTCTTTTTTTTTTTATTTATGTATGGGGTAGGTGACAAACCGTATTTTCGTTCTGAGCCTACCACTGTGCCTTGTGTGTTGGTACGACTTTACGGCCGACGCCGGCACCAATGTGCGAGTAGTTCACTTCGAGTCCCCGACGTGTAAGCAGCTATCAACAGCTCTAAACGAATTTCCGTTACATCAAGTGAGAGTACCCATTTTCTCTGGAAGATATCGTGAACCTTCTGACCTGTGGACTCCTATGTGCGATACATTGCCGGCAATAGTTTCCCAAGAGCGTTGACGAACCCCGTTCTGAAGCCTAGCCCTAGGTACCCGTGGCGGTGTAAGGAGCGTTTGCGGTAAGTCGCCGAACCCCGGCTTTTATCATACATAAATTACTTTGATCCGTTCGAACCGGATTGATATCTTCCAATTGTGTTGTTTTACAGTATTACGTACTTTCTACAACTTATTTTCAAATACGACAAATTCGAATCAGCCATCTTTGTTACGCAAAATGTCTGTCGAAGAATCGCCGTGTGAACAAGATTTGTTCGAAAGGGAACTCATCCTTGATGATTTAAAACGCACTCTCCAGTTCGCAGCGACAGATGTTCAACAATTTCGCTCGCGAACTACAGATTTAAATTCTCATCAACGTAAATTTAATAAAATACAGTCCAAAATTGAAAAAACCTACATGAAATTAAAAACATTTAACAAGGAGGAACAGATTAAGATTCGTAACGATTTTAACGATCTTTACTACGCCATTATTACGCATTTAAATAATTTAAAGATGATGGATGAGGAGCAGCGACGCATGAGTCGTCCGTTATTATCACCGTTAATTCAACCACAAGTTCATAGCAAAAATTTACCTACCTTGCCTTTGCCTAATTTCTATGGTGACCCTACCGATTGGCCATCATATTTTGATTTATTTCGTTCTTTAGTCCACCTGAACAATGCCTATACAGATGCGGAAAAATGTAGATATTTGTTACTCACGGTACATAAGGAACCGCACAATTTAATAAAGTCGATTCCTATCACGGATGAGAACTATTCAGTAGCCTTGGAAATATTGATATCGCGGTATGAGAATAGAAGGGTTATTGCCACTAAGCATCTCGACAAAATTCTCGATATTGAAACGTGCACTGATAAATCAACAAATAGTATACGTAATTTATTAAACGTTTACCAAGAAAATATCAAGGCATTGGAAATTATGCACTTTCCCGTGAAAGATTGGAGTTTTTTGTTACTTAGTATTTTATTACGCAAAATACCTATGCACATTCGAAAAAACTATGAACGTTCATTAACGAATTCATCCGACATTCCTGATGTTAACACATTGATTTCGTTCCTATAGCGAGAAATATCGGCGGACGAAATTATTAATTCCACTTGTGGGCAGTCGAATAATTTTGCCAATCCGCGCAGCCGTTCGAATCCTAACGACAAACCGTCACCGACGCAGGCGCCGCATGCGCATCGTTCATTCCGTTCGTTAGCTGCTAACATCAAATCAGTTTCGAATCCGTCAATCAATAATCGATCTAATGAACAGGGTTTTAAGAGTTGTTTATGTTGTAATGCTCAACATACGTTGACAAAATGTACGCAGTTTTTAAACTTATCCCCACAAGATAGATTTGCTTTAGTACGAAATAAAAATATTTGTTATAATTGTTTGCATTTTGGACATGATGTTAATCAGTGCAATTCAAGTTTTGTTTGTCGTACGTGTCACAAACGACATCATAGTCTTATTCATTTTTCTAACCAGTTAAATCAGTCGCCGTTCATTAGTAAAATAACTGCAAATAATGTTGTCTCGCTTCCACCTACGGTGCAGTGTGACACACCGGTCATCGATGCCTCTCATGACTCATCGCCTTTAGCTTCCAGCGTTGATAACGCTGTTCACAATTGTTGCGCTTCCAATGCGCCGTTAGTTCGTACGACTACGGTGCTATTGTCTACGGCGCTAATCGATGTATACGTTGGTGAGGCGAAACTTTCAACCGTTCGCTGTATTATAGATACTGGCAGTCAAGCTAGTTTTATGACTGATAGTTGCGCGCAGCGGTTGGGAATGATAAAACGTAAACAAGACATTGCAGTTTTCGGAATCGGCGATACTGAGGCGACGCGTTGTAGGGGTTTTGTTTCTTGTAATATTGCGCCTAAGGGTAAACAACAACCCTTATTACCAATTAATGTTTTAATTTTAGATAAATTAATTTCACAAATGCCAAGTGTACAGTTACCGTATAAAGGCTGGTCTCATATACAAACACTTAACTTAGCGGATCCTACTTTCCATACCCCGCAGCCAGTTGAAATGTTATTAGGTGCGGATATACTACCCTGTGTTCTTTTAGGCGACGTTATTACGGGCGCGCCTGGAACTCCGATGGCGGTAAATAGCATTTTCGGTTATTTATTGTTAGGTAAGCTCGATGTTGAACACTCTCCGTCCAATATTAAAGTATGTTTTAGTTCATTCGACAATTACAACCTTCAGAGATTTTGGGAGTTAGAGTCCCTTCCTGAAAAACGGAGTTACACTCCTGATGAGGAATTATGCGAATCCTTTTTTCAAAAGACGCATACTCGCGATGAGACTGGGCGATATGTGGTTGCCCTGCCCTTTAAATCGGAGGCTCCCTCTCTTGGAGAATCTCGACAAATTGCATTAGCGCGGTTTCGTAAACTCGAATATAGACTCGAACGTAGTCCGAAGCTCAAAGCTGACTATCACGCGTGTCTTCAGGAATACATTGACATGAATCATTTGGAACCCGTTGAGGGCGAGGCGCTTCTAGGGAAACATTATTATATTCCACACCACTGCGTAGTCAAGGAGTCTAGCGTGACGACTCGCACTCGCGTAGTTTTCGACGCCGGGTGTAAGACTACTAGTGGCTACTCACTCAATGACACTTTACTGACTGGTCCCAAGCTGCACTTGGACATAGGTAATGTTATTTTAAAATTCCGAGTTCACGCAATAGCATTCACTGCTGATATTAAACAAATGTTCAGAAACATCCTGGTCCGAGAGGAAGACAGGGATTTTCAACGTATTTTATGGCGACAGTCACCCGAAGAACCCGTTCGTGACTATCGTCTTCGCACGGTCACCTTCGGTGTGAATTGTTCCCCATATCTCGCTTTGAGAACTGTCCAACAATTGGCTTGTGATGAGGCCGAGCGTTTCAAACTTGCTTCTCCTGTTTTGTTAAACGATGTTTTCGTTGACGACGTCACATCGGGAGCGTCTACGATCCCTAATGCTTTAGCGCTGCAGCAGGAGCTTATTGATATTTGTAAGACGGCTGGTTTCGAATTACGCAAGTGGCATAGCAATTCTCCAGCGCTACTCTCAACTGTTTTACCGACAGAATCTCATGGTGAGCGGCCCGATGTAATCGCTTTTGCCGAAATGGAGAAGGATAAGCAGGTGAAGGTACTCGGTCTCCAGTGGAACCCTGGATCGGATTCTTTTAACTTCAATGTACAAGTAATAACATCCAATTTATGTACGAAGCGAGTTATTCTTTCCGAGATAGCAAAAATATACGACCCTTTAGGTCTTTTATCCCCAGTCACATTGTATGCCAAACATTTGATCCAACTTTTGTGGATAGCTAACATAGATTGGGATGAAGCGCCACCCATAGACATTGTAAATTCATGGCATGCATTTATTAATCAACTACCGTTTATTTCCAAAGTATCATTTCCCCGTCACATATTTCCGGAACATAAATCAATTCAAATTCACGGATTTGCTGACGCTTCGGAGAAGGCTTATGCAGCCTGTGTCTATGTACGCCTTACGGGTAAGGACGGGCACATTCGCACTTCACTTATTATGGCGAAAACTCGCGTATCTCCACTTCGTATACTTTTAACGATCCCGCGCCTCGAGCTGATGGCAGCCCTATTATTGTCCAAGCTTTTACAACAAACATTAGATATATTCTCGGATTACGTTATTATTGATCAAGTTTATGCTTGGTCCGATGCGGCCATCGTGTTAGCGTGGCTGCGATCACCACCACACGAATGGAAAACGTTTGTTTCGAATCGGACTAGCGATATACTTTCACGCGTTCCTGCTGAACGTTGGCATCATGTTCCGTCGGCAGACAACCCTGCAGATGCTGCATCTCGTGGCATGCTGCCTGGTGCGTTTGTCGAACATGACTTATGGTTCCATGGTCCATCTTGGCTCCGTCAAGATCGAACTCACTGGCCCTCGTCAACAGTAGATTATACTACAGAGGAGGAAAAGCGTATCAAGGTTTCGGTTAGTTCACATTTAACTTCAACAGCTCCTATACAGGACGTGGATATTATTTCTCGATTTAGTAGCTTAGGAAAGTGCGTTCGAGTAACGGCTTTAATATTTAGATTTTATTTTAAATGTAAAAAATACAAAAAATCTTATTCGGACTATGTAACAGTGCCAGAGTACAATTTTGCTTTGACTAGACTTATTTCTTTAGTTCAACAGTGTGTATTTAGTGATGATATTAAAAGCATTTCACTAGGAAAATTTCCCTCTAATAAATTACGACGCTTAACACCATTTTTAGATGATAATAAATTATTACGCGTGGGTGGTAGATTACATAAGTCTCTTTTATCGTACGATTCTAAACATCAGTTAATTTTGCCGAAAAAACATAATTTGACTAATCTTATTATTGACGATGCGCATATAAAATATTTGCACGCCGGCCCACAAACCGTTCAATACTTATTATTGCAGCGATATTGGATTCTATCTAGTCGAGATATAGTGCGTCAACGCATTCATCGCTGCGTTACTTGTTTCCGCGCGCGCCCCGCTCGTAACCAGCCGCGCATGGCACCACTGCCGGTGTCTCGTTTGCGTCCCGCGCGACCATTCATTAAGACCGCTGTCGATTATGCCGGTCCATTTTATGTGCGTGCAAATAAGGTGCGTAATGCAAAGGTTATTAAGTGCTACGTCGCGGTTTTTGTCTGTATGAGCATAAAGGCCATACATTTGGAACTTGTGTCTGAGCTTTCCACGGAAGCTTTTCTGGCCGCTCTCCGACGTTTTACCTCGCGCCGAGGCTTATGTACCGACATCTATTCGGATTGCGGAAAGAATTTTATTGGGTGCAATAATTATTTAAAGGATTTGTATGCATTCTTGCGCAGTAACGCTGTCCAGAATCAATTAAACGAGCTTACACTCCAACAAGGCATAACGTGGCACTTTCAGCCTCCGTATGCCAGTCATTTTGGTGGATTATTTGAGGTGGGTGTCAAAAGCTTTAAACATCATTTGTACCGTGTAGTTGGCACTCGCACTCAAACTTATGATGAGATGCACACTCTTCTCTGCCAAATAGAGGCCGTGTTAAATTCGCGTCCGCTTTGCGCCACGAGTGCTTCACCGGAACCGCTTCCCCTAACTCCATCACACTTTTTGATAGGAGAACCTTTGACTTCTTTGCCTGATGTTTCCTTGGTGGATGAGAATCCTAATCGTCTTACACGGTGGCGTTGGGTTCAACAATCCGTTCAGCATTTTTGGAAAAGATGGAGTAAAGAATATTTACACGAAATGCAGCAAAGTCAAAAATGGTTTTCTGATCGAGGTTCAAGTATCCGTGAGGGTACTGTTGTAGTGGTGAGCGACGACAATCTCCCGCCTCTGCAATGGAAAATTGCGCGTGTTCATGCTCTTCATCCCGGATCTGACAACATAACTCGCGTTATAACACTACGTAGGGGTAGTACTATTTTCAAGCGGCCCGTTGTTAAGGTGTGCCCGCTTCCTATTGATTCGTTTATATCGTTACGAATCAAATCTTAGTACTTAAGTTTTTTTTTGCATTCTCTCTAATATTTTTTTTTATTTTCATTCATTGATTCAAGTTAAAGGCACTTAAGTCCCTTTAAGGTGAGCGGCATGTTCCGTAGCGTAACAGATTTTTTAATAAAGCAACACATATTGGAAGATTGTATTTATGTATGGGGTAGGTGACAAACCGTATTTTCGTTCTGAGCCTACCACTGTGCCTTGTGTGTTGGTACGACTTTACGGCCGACGCCGGCACCAATGTGCGAGTAGTTCACTTCGAGTCCCCGACGTGTAAGCAGCTATCAACAGCTCTAAACGAATTTCCGTTACATCAAGTGAGAGTACCCATTTTCTCTGGAAGATATCGTGAACCTTCTGACCTGTGGACTCCTATGTGCGATACATTGCCGGCAATAGTTTCCCAAGAGCGTTGACGAACCCCGTTCTGAAGCCTAGCCCTAGGTACCCGTGGCGGTGTAAGGAGCGTTTGCGGTAAGTCGCCGAACCCCGGCTTTTATCATACATATATTTCTTTCTTTCTTAAAATAAGAGGGAGGGAACACGTTAGCGGGCAGAGCATTCCATTGACGATAGCGCGACAAAGAAATGAGTCTCCAAACTTCTTTGTACGCCTCGGAATAGTGACCACAGTTAGTCTGGTATTGAAAGCGGTTATGATGATCACTTTTTTGTGGCAGGTGGCATTATGCTAGTATGCCGCCCAATACAAAAGAAAAATCGCCTTGTTTGCGTCTGCTGACAAACTTTTTCCATTTGTCCGAGAACGCAGTAATGTGTTTTATTGCTCTTACGTTTCCAAACCGGCAGTATGGTTAAGTATCATTTCATTTTGTATTCCATAATTGAAGGAATTAAAATTTAATTAGAATGACCAACAATGTATGCCGTCTACTTTGACTTCCTATGGTATCATTTTGGCTGCCGTCCTTTCGTCTTCTGCAATCTCTTTGTGGGAATCAAAAACATAAGGAAACAACTACACAGTTTGAAAAATAGAATAATTTATTTGGTCATATCGTTTCTGTCACAGGGCTGATCAGCGAGCCGGGCTTCATCTCGCAGATGAAGGCGAGAGGTAGGTTGCAGGGCACGTCGTTGAGCATGCCGGCGCCAGGTTTGATGTACCGTAGGATGCTGCCGCAGTTCTCGCCGCCCACGGCGTCGTACTGTACGTTGTTCGGCTCGTCCGGCGCCCAGCGCGGGTACCCCGCCTCCTCTAGAGTTTGACCTGGAAGTTTCATCAAAATTTTATACCGAACACATTCGAGGGAGAATCTCTGAAAGGTGCGTGGCCAGTCCTAACGGAACGCTTAATGTCCTTAGAGTGTCTGTCGGGTGATCGGCGCAGGAATGTTTAGTACTTAATACTCTATGTTTGATTGTATTACAAGATAGTGTAACAACAATTGTGATGCACCTTTATGAAACCCGTCGGGCACAACAATAACTGCCTGTGGTTTTATTGTTCTGTTCATTTCGCCGAGCCTACAGCTGAACAAAATGTTGAGGAAGGACTCCTCACGTATATCCTCGTATCAGCCCTCAGTGAAAAGAAAGGCGCTGCGCCTTTCCCAGACATTAATAAAAAGAGGCTCAAGAGAGGGCGCAGTGGTTAGTGCGATTCAGGTAGTCAAACAACGTTCACAAGGGCCGATTATTGGATGGATGACAGAAAATGCATTATCTCGTACTCGTGCTCCGAAAGTCATACTTAGCCATTGGCTAATCTACACTGAACCCTCTAAGTGAGTCATGGCTTAATCTTCCTATTCCATTAGTAGGAAAGCTCCGTGTTGATGATGATGATGATGTTGATGAAATTTCTCGATTATTTTTTATGGTCAGGTCCAACAAATGACTCCGCCCTACTTATGTTAAGTGACGGTGAAGTCCAGATGCGAAGATAGCTGGTACAGCAGTTCAACCTGCCACACCAGCCATTCTCACCTTGCCGGCCTGCATATTGCTTCTTCACGCTTCCTTTAAAGGATCCCAGGTTGTAAGAAGGACAGAACACGTGAGCGGACAGAGAGCATTCCATTTACGAATAGTGCGACAAAGAAACAAGTCACCAAATTTCTTTGTACGCGTTGGAATTGTGGCCACACTTAGAAGGTGACAACGTAGGCCAGCGTGGTCCTCTGAAGGAAAGGGGAAGGCGGAATAAGAGAGATTTATTAGAAAAACATCCACGTGGACCAGGCAGCGGACGGGACTCGAACCCGCATCCTTCGCTATCCGTGCGAATGCACTGACTATTATGCTACCACGGCCTTATTAGCCGCGTCGAAATTTTCCTAGCCTTAAGCTGCAAGGCAGCGCCATCTCTCCGCATTGTAGGTAACCCACAATGTCAAATGAATACTTTTTCAAGTATTAAACATTTGAAAGAAGAAATAGCAATTACAGTTATGATTTTATTTATTTTTTAAGCATTTATTAACTGCTAGATATTTAAATCTAAAGAAAAGTTTACTAGAAAAACATCCATGCGGACCAGGCAGCGGACGGGACTCGAACCCGCATCCTTCGCTATCCGGGCGAATGCACTGACCATTATGCTACCAAGGCCTTATTAGCCGCGTCGAAATTTTCCTAGCCTTAAGCTGCAACTCAGCGCCATCTCTTCGCATTGTAGGTAACCCACAATGTCAAATGAAGATTTCAAGAAATCACCATGTACGGTCAACCACATAGTGTGATCGGACCAGTCTCTGAAACCGATGGACGTGGACAGCGAGTTAGTAGTCGACAGAGTCTCCGGTGGATTACTGTCGACTAGAAGCTTGAGCTCCTGCGCCTCCTCCTCGCTGTTGATGATGGCGAGGTAGCCCCCCTCGGCCGCGCACACGGAGAACGCGTGTGTCCAAGCCACCGCGTCCTTATGGAACTTGTAGCAGCTGCCCGTTTTTGGGTTCAGTTTGTACCCTGTGTATAGACGACATTTTCATTAAGAACATAAACAGAGAAGGCCTGAGTTTTCCCTGTCCAAATCTAAAAATAACTGGACATATAAATGTGTGAGAGATGAAGTGATAGTTCGTATATTCTATGGGCTGCACCATTAGAGATTTTTGCTCAGTACATTCTCCATATTTGTGGTTTAAAATATATGGGGAAAAAGACAATTTGGTGTTCTTCCCATTCGTTAAAAAGATTGCGCTAATTTTGAAGTTAAAAATTAGTAGCAGGTTAATGACGCAAGTGGTTAAGGTTTACGATCGTGGAATTTAAACAATTTTCACGAAGGCCATATAAAAGATGGTTGACCGAGATTTTGAGCTTTCTCGTAGTTTGGGGAGCACGTTAAAGTTATTAGTTGATAGCTTTATTTTCTGATCATTACCATTGTCAACAGTCCCGCACTCGTTGAGCTCCACTTCTGAGGTCTTCTTCCTGTAGCAGACGTAAGAATATGTCTCGGTGCAAGGCACGTCTGCCATGGTGCCATTCTTCAGCATAACTAGACAGTCCTCGCCATTTTGATTGTTGTCTGGTTCATCTGGCGCCCAAACAGTTCTTATCTTTGATAAAGGAACACCTGTGGACATCAAATACTTAGTAATTGCTAAAAAAGGATATCAAATGAGAGAATGACGAAACAGATTTACGACTCGATAGCGAAGGATGAAATCGGCAAAGGCGAAGTCATTAAGATCAAATTGATCGCATTATGAAAGTAGGTGAATTTGAAAATTAAGTGAATTTGAATGAATATAGTCTATATATATAAAAAACTCAAAGGTGATTGACTGACAAAATGATCTATCAACGCACAGCCCAAACTACTGGACGGATCGGGCTGAAATTTGGCATGTAGGTAGATGTTAGTATTTTATAAATTGTAAAGTGATAATTTTTTATATTATTTATATCTGCAATGGAAGTTGACATCATGAATTATCTCCTTTTGAAGTCATTTTTCGATATGACGACTCTGCATAAAATACAAGGAGAAAAAAACAACCCTTGCTGAGTTTCTTGCCGGTTCTTCTCAGTACAAGGTCTCCCTAGATTTGCGAACCGATGGCGTAGCTTCTAGACATTCATGAGTGCTTGTAACAGCCTAGAATGGATAAATGATATCGAACTTGATGATGATCATGACGATATTTACCTTCGATTGAGCTGAAGGATCCCTTGGATATAGTGGCGTGGATTCCCGTGATAAGCGCGCAGGAATCGCTATTGGAACTTAAATGAAGTTGCGTCATCGCTTCCCGGAGGTGGTCGTTCAAAGGAGACGCTAAAACGGCACCTGAAAAAACCTTACATTAAGAAAAGTTTACTAGAAAAATAATCCACGCGGACCAGGCATAATGGTCAGTGCATTCGCCCGGATAGCGAAGGATGCGGGTTCGAGTCCCGTCCGCTGCCTGGTCCGCGTGGATTTTTTTCTAGTATACTTTAGATTTAAACATCTAGCAGTTAAATGCTTAAAAAATAAATAAAATCATAACCTTACATTAGATAACACATTTTTTAGGGTTCCGTACCTAAAGGGTAATAACGGAACCATTTTACTAAGACTCTACTGTCCGTATGTCTGTCTGACCGTCCTCCGGAGTAGGCATACACAGCTTTCCCCTCTGTCGAGTTGGGCATAGAAACGACACATGTGTGTAGGATTTGACGATGTATTGTGTCATTGTTTATGGGTGTGTCGTGGTTACAAAGTAGGTATGTAACAGTTTTGTTTTGTATGCGTGTACGTTAAACTGCATTTGTGTACATCCCCTCTCCCCCCTCCCCCCGTCCTCGTAAAATAAGAAGATGATTTGAATAGTATTATGTCGCTGAGAGCATGATCGAATTATAACAAAAATGAAATTTTATAATTCCGTTTCGTTATTTATTTAATGATCATTACGAACGATAAAATCACGAAAGAAACATTTAAGTTACATAACAATTAATGCGAATCCACAATGTAAGTATTTGATGAACATGAAACATACCGACACGTTAACATGTTTCATACATAATATATCTTTATATATATAATTCTTCTGTGAGTGTGTTTGTCACTGAACTTCTCTTAAACGACTGGACCGATTTTGATGAAATTTTTTGTGTGTGTTCAAGGGGATCTGAGCATGGTTTAGATTCACAATTTTGTCCGCTGGACAACCCCTATTTTCTTAGGGCGGTACGAAGTTCGCTGGGTCAGCTAGTATCAATATAAAAAAAAGGTAAATTTAAAAATCAAAAAACCCGACTGCTTAATTATACTTCAAATAAAAACTGAAAAGTAAAAAACAAGTCCAGTAGTCTATAATTCTGTTAATAAGGAACAAAGCTACTTTAACAGTCGGGACCCATTAGATATTCAAAAATACATAATATTTTTCAACAGTGGGTCCCGACTGTTAAAGTAGCTTTGTTCCTTATTAACAGAATTATAGTCTACTGGACTTGTTTTTTACTTTTCAGTTTTTATTTGAAGTATAATTAAGCAGTCGGGTTTTTTGATTTTTAAATTTACCTTTTTTATTTCACACTTTTTAGTTAGTTAGTATTTTAAGACGGTATATACCGTAGTCTTGTTACTTCAGTAAGGGAATTAATATCGCGGGAATTATTAAGTACCTTGCGTCGGTCTAAAAGATTGATTTATTAAGACATATAAAGACTTTACCCGCGGGGTCAAGGCTACAGATGGGCCTCAATTTTCGCAAAAATGTGTGAAGTTAAATCAAGTCGTTACATAAATATCTCTAATGTATGTAAATTTTATAGTAAACTAGCACTTACTCAAAAAGTTATCTTTTGTTTATGTTTTTTTTAATAGTTTAGCAGTAAATATAAAATTCATTTACTTTTATTCGTCAACTATTTAAAATTGGCAGTGGCTGCATTGTCATGTCAATGCCGGACGTCTAAGATTGTGATATACACAAATTCAGTGTCAGTCCCTAGTCTCATAATTTGATATACCTACATAATTCACAGAAAGCCAATAGTAACTTCAAATATTTTTAATCACCCTATATACAATACCAATCAATGACGTTTATGTCACAGGTTGAAGAAAGCAGTAACTCACGTCTGTTGTTTTGGACAATGGTGGCAACTGCCTTAGATCACTTAATTAAATAATTATTATGCAATCACCAAAGCAAAGTTTATAATATTTGATTAAACTAAAGGCGCATAATAAAATTTTCATAACGTTAGGTAGAGCACCATAGCAATCTCATTTATTATCAATTTATAGTTCTCTTTGTAGTTTTCTTTTAAAGCGTTCACATTTAACAGGTCAAAGACTTTGTGTTCGACCCTTTTTTATTGGTAGTGTAAAGCTCGAATGAAGAGTACTCTCCCAGTAGTGCAATCATGGCAATTATTTTCCATTTTTTTTTTTGTTATAAATATACCGAATAACGTATCACATCACACGTACACACAAATATAATCAAATAAACCTATTACTTACTTTATTTTTAAATCTTTTTCATCAATTAAATACTTATTTTATCCTAACTATCTATACTAATATTAAAAAGAGGCAAGATTTGTATGTTTGTAACAATTAATCTGTCAAACTACTGAACCGGTTTCAAATATTAATTCATCATAAGGTAGCTACATTATTTATTATAACACTTTTCTTTATTTAAATACATTTTGTCCGAGTGACATAGGCTATATTTTATCCCGATAAATAAATTTCGCCCGTACAATGCCCGGGTGGATCACTAGTAAGTAAATATAATATTATAGATGCGAAAGTGAGTTTGTTGCGCTTCCGTGCCCTAATAGCTAAATCGAATATAATGAATTCCCATATAGAAGTAGATGGGAACTTGGTTCTTAGCTACAACATCGCAATACTTATAGGCGTAGGGTGATGAAAGGGGTGATTTACCTCTAAAAATCTACATTATTTACTTTGAATTTTGCAGAATAATTACAAAACCAATATTATCGCGAGCTGATTAATAAATACAGGGATTTTAATAAGTATGTACTTACTAGCGAAAAATGGGTTATTTGTCATTATATTAAGTAAACCTTTTTTGTAACATTAAGTAATATCGTTAAAAAAAATGAAAAACAGTAAAATTCTGAGTTTTTCATTAAAATTCAATAATCATAAATACCTATTATGATAATGTATTTTTCATCATTCAATAAGAAGGAACTGTATCACAGTTTTATTGTTAGTACTTCGTATAGGATCAGATACTGCGAATACCCCATTTTTTTTCTTTTACATAGTACACCGCGCTATCACTTTGTTATCGTTTTAACTTTTTAAATATTTGTCGAAATGACATACTGTAAAAAGCAAAGTTTATCGTCTTTAAATATCAAAAGCGATAAAAGTATTTGTTTTGATAAAACATAATTTGTTAATACAAAATGTGCATTTTGGAAATAGATATCAAATAATATTTTAGTTTTGATTCACTATTTTAGCGGTAGTGACTTACACATTAAAAATAGATATATGGCGTCACGGACTTTTTTTAAGAACTATTTAAGAGATATATTTTCACTCGACATTACATTCATGTAACTTTTATTGTTTTTGCAGTGCAGGCCAAAATGGCTCGCAAATGGGAGATTTTTTTCCGTCTTATGTGACACTTATTGTTATATATTGGCCAATTTACTCAATAACTACATAAATTATTATATATATGTAATTATCATATATGAGCTATATTACTGTTAAGTTTCATTAAAATCCATTCAGTATTTTTTTGGTGAAAGAGCAACAAAAATCCATACAAACGTAAGATTGAAATTAAAAGCGTAAGTGGTTAATATACAACTTTAAAGCGTTGTAGATCCTAAACAATCATATAAAATGAAAAATGGTGTTAGGAACCTAAATATGATTTTTGATTATCTAGACAGTGATACCCCACTCGACATATTTTGTCAACTTATTTTTTTTACTTCGTCACAATATGGCGCCTAATTTTGCCCATACTGAATTTTGATTACTATCATATCTTTAGTAGCACTCCCATGATTGAGACGAATCGATTGATGTATGAATCATCAAAATCGGTCCAGGCGTTTGGTCTCTAGTGTGCCACAAAGGAACAAACATACATATATAGACTGTTAAACACATAACCCTGTCTGCGCGTCGCGCTTCGCGCTCTTGCATTGCGCAGCCGGGTAATAAACACATAACCCTGTCTGCGCGTCGCGCTTCGCGCTCTTGCATTGCGCAGCCGGGTAAAAAATATACTCCATAAGTACAATATCACAGATCAGTTGGTCGAGTTACTATGAAAAGTTTTACATTCAAATCACGGCTGACTCATCTTGAACATTCACATAGCCATGGTGACATGCGAAAAACGGCCGGCAAGGAATATGGACATAGACAAGCGAGCCTGCGCAGTAGTAATGTTACATACAAAAAAGTCTTCTGCGCATGTTTATATGTCTGTGGTTTTGCTCAAGAAGCTTGCCACTATAGGTAGACCGCTTAACTGAGCCTGCGGGGTACAGGGTGTGGGGGAGGACGAAAACGGGGACCGTGAGGGGAGCGGGCGGCAGGCACATTCTTAAATAAAACTAGTTTTTTACGGGTTAATTCAAGAAACTTTATTTATTTATTGACGTTTCGCAGCCTTTACAGGCTGCGTCGTCGGAATCAATTTTTTATTGCGAAACGTTAATCTTATAAAGATTATATAATTCTTCTGTGAGTGTGTATGTCACTGAACTTCTCTTAAACGACTGGACCGATTTTGATGAAATTTTTTGTGTGTGTTCAAGGGGATCTGAGAATGGTTTAGATTCACAATTTTGTCCGCTGGACAACCCCTATTTTTTTAGGGCGGTACGAAGTTCGCTGGGTCAGCTAGTAAATATATAAAGTTTCGTGCATTAACCCGTAAAAAACTAGTTTTATTTAATGAGTGATGTGCGTGAAAACCTAAGAAACAAATAGGCACATTCTTGTCAATATTACAAGCGCCCGCCGCCCCCTCCCCTCACGGGGCAAGTTCTCGTCCTCCCCCACACCCTGTACCCCTCAGGCGAGGTCTCAGTTAAGCGGTTTACCTATACTTATAAAGAGCGATTATATGCTTTTAACTTACCTTCAGCTTTGCACATTCTGAACGCGTTCTGGAAGTTGGCCGGTACCACGTGCATTTTCAGCCATCCCATCGCTTTCTCGTCAAATGTGTAGTCAAATCTATACTGGCTACCAGCTGCAAAATCAATAGTTCAATTATAATAACAAATTTTGGACATGCGGCAACAATTTTATAGGGATGATGACAAATTTGCTTTCTTCGTCTGTCAGGTAGACTACGAAAAAGTTTTGGACACGTGGTTTTCTTTATTCAAATAATCTAAAAATAACAGAGATAAATGTGTCATGACATCACGTCTCGTTATTTTTTTTTTTGATGAAAAAAATAATAATAAAAAATAAATATTTCCAACACTCACACCAATTAACTTGCCCCAAAGTAAGCACTGTAAGGCTTGTGTTATGGGATGCTAGGGTAACGGAGAGAAAACATATACTGTACATATATAAGTATATATTTATATAGAAATAGATATTAAACATACATGACTTGAGTACAAATGCTCGTATTCATCACACAAACATCTGCCCCCACCGGGATTCGAACCCGGACCTCTCGAGCAGGCGACACCATGAAACCCGGCGTGCAAACCACTTGGCCACGGAGATTGTCTATCTGTA